TTCGTTGTTTCTCCTGGCTCGTTTGATGAGGACACTGTTGGTGTCGTTGGTGCTCTTCTTTCTTGCGATTGTGACTGTCCGTCATCATAAATACTTGAATGCGATTCTGTGATGAGCGTTCTGTTTGATGCATCACTCGTCACCACTAATTTCTTGCTGACATTTCCTTGCTCATCGTATTTAGCTTTCCGTTTTTTCGACGACACTGTTGGTTTGATATGTTGTTTAGTATTGTCTTGCTTTTCAAATTGTTCAATTAAATCAGGATGGATATTTCCTTCCGGTTCCCAACTGTTATCTGACTCAGGATAGCCTTGCCATTTGAGAAAATATTCGGTAATGCCGCGACGTCGACGTTTACCGATAATCTTTTCGACAATGAACTGTGCTTCGGGTAAAATAATAACATCTGGCGATGGAGTTGAGAGTGAATCATTTGTGTTGCCATCTTCGTTCTCTAGTGGATGAGACATCTTCGTTTTGATCACGTCGTGCAATCTGAAACAGAAAGAGAATCAGTTCCACTTTTATTCATAGGAACAAACGCTTTTAATTATTTCGCTTATGATAGCTTCTGTTGAGGACAAAGCACGAAAAATGAATAAGTTTCAGTAGAAGCTGAGAATGATCTCGTTGACGAAGCCAATAAAAAGGTCTGAATTTCTGTGAAGCTGCAACTCGAATCAAGTTCATTCAGAAACCGTTGCTCTTCATTGCTGATAACATCGAAGTGGAAAAGAAGAGAAGATTGTCGAAGATGAATAGAAAACGTGCGTTGTTTGGAGACAATAAAACAAATGATTGTGATACAGGATAGACGGCTGAAGTCGCTGATACGTTTTTTCACAGTCTAATATCGAGAAGAAGTTGAGCTGTGCAAGTGCTGTTATCTCTGATTTTTTCAAAAGCAGTGTACAGTTGGAGATAACTGAACAGTGCTAAGGTTCTGTAGTGTACGAGTCATGTGCAGCGGCGCTGCATCGATTCACGTGTTTCTGGCATGTTGTTCTTACAGAATATTAGTTTGT